AGTATTTGACTTGGGAGGGCAGCAGTGCGTCTTGCAGGAAGAGCTTATTCCCAGGCCTGTGTGAGCTCTGAGGACTATTCCCTCTACTCTTTTGGGTGGTTCTTTCCCCTGTCTTGGAAAATTCCCTCACCCATAACCGCTCAGCACTCAGATGACCATTCCCTGCGGATGCCTTCTCAGCATCTAGCTGTTCTCCTGCCCCTTGGCTGTGAACTCCAGCTGTCTTTCCTCCCTGGATCTCCAACTCCACCAGGGGGCCCTTCCCTGCACAGTGGTTAGAAACCCTCTCCTGACAGAAGCTGAGGCAACTGTAGCAACCATCTTACTTCTCAGTCCTCCCTGTCCTTTGCTGCTTAACAGTCAGGTCCTAAAGACCCATATATTTCACCCAGTGTCTCAGTCATTTCAAGAAGGAAGTAGATCCAGATGGCTCTTCCATATTCTCTAGAAGTTTTCGTCAAGACGTTCTTTGATTTGTGTGGCTCTGCCCTTCTTTAGTTGACAGTGGTTATCCTTTAGACTTTCACTTGGATACTGTCTTGTTCAGAAGGTCCTTCCCCAACTCCTCAAGGCTCAGTAAGGTGCTCCCTGGACGCCCTCCCGGGACAGGGCTGACCACACTGCAGTGGAGCTACTGTCTGGCTCGCACAGCCCCCGCCAGCCCCAAGAGCCAGGGAGCCGGGGCCTGTGGTATCCACTACCACATCCCAATACCCTGAGGGTACCAAACACAGCAGGAGCTCCATAAATATATGTGAATGGATAAACAAAAAAGCTTAAAGTGACCAGACAGCAGCTGTCTCCACTTTTATTTTGTCACTGTTTGTTTTGTTTTGTTTTGTTTTTTCTGTACCATCCATTTCCTCAAAGATTATAAACTGCCAGTTGCCATCTTGGACTAGAGCAATCTTTATTATTGAATCAAGCTACACTTTCTGATTAAAGAAAATAATGATTAGATAGGACAGTATCTGCCCTCTGGGGTAGCAGTCACTCACAACCCAGGATCTGGTACTTCCATAATTTAAGGGAAACACTCTACAACTAAGGGCCTCCTTTGAGAATTCAAACCAATTCCAGAGACCCAAATGTTCTAACCATGTATTTATTGTCATCTAATTCTACCTCAATAAAAATAGCAACATCAGAAGAAGCCAGTACAAACTTTCCTCACTAATAATTTAAACTGTGACTTATTAACTTCTCTCCAGAGCTAATAAGTCATTCATAAATTGTTCAGCTCCATTTTCCTTTGAAATTAGCAAAAATCAGATGAACTTGTCTCCCTTGAGTTTCTTCTCTGTGTCTTCAAAAGGTAAATTTGAAAAGACGGACTAAACCTGAGAAATGTAGGTGATAACAGAGGCAGATGTGGAAAGGTCCGCTCCCAAGACAGGAAGCTCCCAATTCCCAAAGGTGGTCCTAGCGGCTTCCAGAGTCTCCAGACCCAGGAGGTCATTCACAAAGCTAAATACTGCAGGCACATCCTCCGCTGCCCCTTTGAAGGGGGCAGCACAGAGAAGACATTTAAGTTCACCCACTGCTACTTCACGACAGTGCCAGAGAGCCAGAAGGACGCTTCCACAAAACCCCCCGCATCCCTCAGAGAACAAAATAGCAGTGCTGCATAACAGCCTGCAGCCAGCATGCTAGAAGACAATGACACTGAGCAATAATTCCCACCCTATGCGACACAGTTCTTGAGGAGCCAGCAGCTCCGGCCCCATCCCCAGAGCCTGCAGAAGGGCAGTACTCACACTGCACGCGTTGCCGGCCGGCTGCGCAGGGCTGTAGAAGGACCCCCACTGGGGCGCTCGCCTGTCTTCCCGGGAAGGGGTGCTATTTGGGGGCAGGCCAGCCGGGACCCCCGGCGCTGCGGTGTTGGGAGGCTGGCTGCTGGGGGCCACGAGGGCGAAGGCGTCATCCAGGAGGGAGTGCATGGTCTGGCGGGCCTCCTCGATGGACGGCTGGGGCGGGATGTACTGTGAGGCTGGGAAGGGGAGGCCGGGGTACCGGGCCAGCTCGGCGGAGGACGGCGGCGTCTGCACATCGGCTGGGAGGTCAGGATCCGACTGCAGCAGGGGAACAGCAAAGAGCAGGCGCAGACGTGAGCTCCTGTGACGACTCTACAACAAGGCTCTAGGACCGAAGTAGAATCTAACAATGCTCTGACACGCAGGAGAGCGCGCAGCACCAGCCGGCTAAAAGAATAGCCACAAAACTCGCACTGTGTTTCAATAGGGATGATACCCTGAATTAGGAAAAACATGGGAATGGTTGATTATTGATACTCAGCTATCTAACATGCCCTTTAGGATCCAGAAGTCAGATTTCTACTGAAAGCCTAAACTCCAGAAAACATGTTTCAAACCCAAAAAATTACTAAAGAGTCCATGGATATAGAGCCCCATGTATCCCGGTCTATTCACTGGCAGCAGCCAGAAAAATACCTCGGGGTGGAGCCTGGTGGTAAAGCACTTGCCTAGAGTGAGCAAGGCCATGAGTTCAATCCCAAGCATCGCGCAAAAGTGAAAAACAACAACAAAAAAGACCACCCTAGGTATCTCTAAAAGAGGTCAAACTCATCATCATAATAAAACTAAATTTATTAACAATTATAACACCCACTATAATAGCTATTTGTGACAGATTATTCAGATAGATTAATCTCTTTTTTCTTGGTCATATTAGGGATCAAACCTGGGACCTTGCGTGTGCCAGGCAGGTACTTATGCTGCTGAGCTATCTCCCTGGTCCTTAGATTATTCTCTCTCTCTCT